TATATATATATATATATTGGAAATTTAAGAGTTTTTTTAAAATTAAACTGTATTTTTTTCGTTTTCGATTTTTTTCAATTTACAATTTCAGTATCTTAATTTAATATAAAAAATATGTTGATGAATAAACTTTAATATGAACTTATGATCTATCATTAGATAAATAATAGAATATTTAGTGATATGATAATAATTAGAGATGAAGTGTGAATTTGGGATCTAGGCATAAAATACAATCACTTTTGAAATAGATTATCAAAAAGTGTCTCTTAACATCCAAAAAAATTAACAAAGATTAAGTTAAATTTGGGTCAATCATACATAAATCCCTCAAGAGCTTTTGAATTTTATGTTAGACTACATGAATTTAATTAATTTTTCTTTTATAAAAATAAGAAAAATTATATATATGATTATATAATAAAATTAAACCTAGATCGTCGTACTTTTATTTTTCAATTTCTTTTTCTTAAAATACTAAATTAACTCTAATGATTACATGAGTTTAATTTAGTTCTCGTTGTATATTTCAACAAATTATAAATAAAATGCATTAATTTAGTTGTGACAAAAAAATATACGTGCTTATTTAAATGTTTATAATTATTTCATTTATATTTTAGTTAGTTGAACATGTTTGAATTGTTATACTCTCTTACTATTGATTTCTATTCCTATTATTTAAATTGCACTTCAGTATAATCGTGAAAGTTTGTGACTTAATCTACATAAGATTAGATAAGTTATAAATAGAACTTACAAGATATTATATATAGGAAAAACTTAAACTTCATAATCTTGAATTGACTCATTTCAATATCTCTTCATCTTGTCATTTTTTTTTTTTTTTTTACATTCCTTTTAAAATTAGCCAGGAAGATTCAAGAATTTCGCACATGTACTGATATTAGTACATGTTAAATTTAAATAAAATTTATTATGAAATCATTTAAAAAGAATAATAAATATTTTATTATTAATATTGAATACGCTATTATCAAATTAAAATTAAATTAAATTGATAAAAAATTTAAAATTGAGAAGATAATTATTGAAATAAATTATTTGATTCAACTACATCAATCTTATCAATAACAGTGAAATTAAGACACTTCACGTCTCTATATATTTTGGATAGAAAAAGATAGTATTTCTATGCAAAAAGAAAAGTGATCCATAATTATTCATTATGAAGAATAAAACAAAAAAAAAAACTAATTAAAAGAAATTGCTATATAATTAATGAAATTTTGATACTTAAAAAATATAAGCAATTTAAATTTCTTGATAAAATAAAAAGGACAAAAAATCCATATAAAAATAGAACCCAAAGTAAATATCCAAAAAGATATTCCTTTTATATCATGGTATAGATAATGTGTCAAAAGTTAAAAATAAATTTAGGATCGAAAAATATAATTCTTTTATAATTTAGTTTAAATGATATGATTTTTTTAAGGTAATGAGGAAGATATCTTTAATTTGATAGAGCATATTAAGATTTAAAATTTAAATCAAATTAAAATTGAAATTAAATTTAAGTAATAGTATTTAAAATGAATAATAATTATAAAAAATAAGATATAATTAAATATTGAATATAAGAAAAGTCATATTATGAAGAAATAAATGACTTCAAAAAATATTTTCACTTAAAAATGCTCTCATTTAATAGAAAGAGCTTGTCTTTATAATATTAGGTTGAATTAATTTAATAACTACTAAAACACCAAGAAGAACAAGAAGAAGAAAAAATGGAATACTTGAGATTGTGGTGCATTGTAATTGGCCTAAGTTTTAAGAGTGAGGTATGCCTGGGATGTAAATGTTGGTGGTATCATGCTCCACCAAGCCTTCTTTCTCCTCCCCCACCTTCATACTTTCGGAAATAGAGAAAGATGACATGAAACAAATGCTTCAAAAGATGACGTGAAACAAATGCTCCACAGGTAAGGAGAAGGTGAATGGCGTGGTGAAAAATCATTGAACTGAACTATAAGCACAGATTTAAATCAAAACCCTTCCTCTTTTACTCAAACCAATTTATGTCCATCTGTTTTAGTTTTGTAAGCCACTTTTGCGTGTCTTGAGAAATACATGGTGTCTTCATCTCACTATCTATATGATCACTCCTCTTTTCCTTACCAAGGTTCTCCTGTCTGCTCCTTTTTCTTACCTTGAGTGACAGAAGGCGAGAAACTTCATGTAATCCACCCCACTTTTCCAATGCACGCGCAATATCATACCTCCCTGAGGGAAATTCCATTGCTACTAAGTTAAAAATGATTGTCACTGATTCACTGGTATTAGTTTGGTGAGACTGATGTTGTGTATTTTAATAAACTTCTCCAGAAATACTTTAGGAGATAAAAATAAGAAGGAAAAACAAGATAAGTTTCTCCATAAACTATGCATAAGTTAATTTGTAAACGCTCTCTCATATTAACTTTTCCAAAAACATATTTTTAACTTATGCATGAGTTAGTTTTAACTTATGAAGAAATTTATTTTATTTTATTTTTTCTATTTTTTCCTCTTAGAAGTACTTCTGAAGAAGTATATCCAAGTTGACCTTTAGCATACTTTCTTTCATAGACTTGAAAGAAAGCTATAGTTTATTGCAGCAATAAAATCAAAGTTGAGAACAAGAATATCTAAACCTACCTGCACGTTCAAATGACTTTCTACTGGGCATAAATGAAGGGTCTATTCCCCAGCTCCTTTGAAACCGACTTATCTGCGTGAAGAAATGAATTCCATTACGATCTAAGGTGCAAGTAATGTCATTTATATAACAAATTTCTTACATTGCAGACTTCATAAATGACAACATTTATTATTTAAGCATTAGCCTCTCTCCACAAGATAAACAAGAGTGCTAACCGCTAAGAGTAAGTGGTATAAAGTGAAGAAGGAAATGGAAGTATTTAAGATAGGAAGGAATTTGAGTGCTAAGTGGTACCTCTTCCTGCAAATTTTCAAGATTGTCCCAGTAACCCTTTGGTTTGCGGTGTTTGTAAGCCAAAGAAAGGTTCAATATTATTGCGATCTTTCTGAATCCACCCATGCGAGTTATAGCCTTCTCAATATCCACTCTTCCATGTAAACGAAGTTGCTTCCTCATTGGCATAAATCCTTCCTGTCCATGTTCTGCAATGAATTTCAGGAGTTCAGATTTTAGTACTTCAATATTCCTCTGTAATCCTGGCACTTTAGGTCTTTGCTGAGATGAACATTGAACATTGCAATTAGGAACTTCCTTAGCTAAACCATAGTTTTCGTCTTTCTGAAAGACAGATGAAACAGTTTGTTGCCCTGAATTGGTATTCTCCTCGCAAACTTCTGAAGATTTTGATACATTCTGGTTCTCAATATAGTCTCTTATTGCAGACAAGTTTGATGGGAGATCTTCATAAATGACCTGAAATGACATTGTGCAAAAAACTCAACATTGCAGGATTCAAATAGTGAGTAGATTGAAAGGTCACATTTACCTTCAAGATATTGTATCTTTTTTTATTATTTTTTATTGATGGACATGGTCCACATAATATTTCATTGGTGTTAGATACAATCCTTCAAAAGATTACATCTAGCACCATTGAAAGTAAAAAGATTAAAAAAATGAAAAGACACATGGATAGAAGAATGTAACTGGCTTTCACTTAGGCAGAACATTATAACTGTATTTTTAGTCAGATGAGCTCCTTTCCAGTGTCAATCCAAAGGTTCATATGTGGACTACATAGCGAGGGTGTTAAACTGTTGGAAAAGAATCTAGGGAAGTTTTAAAAGCAATCTAAAATTATATAGATGAATGAATTAATAGACAAACCTCCTCCATGATGGCTTCAGAAAGGAAAGTGTCTTTGCACATTTTTGACTCCACAGAGTACTTTAGAAGTGTGTGATGATTTCCTAGCTGTTCAAAAATCCATTTTCCCCGGAATGAATCAAAGTCCCCTTCAATTTGTTCAAAACTGATCTCCTGTTCTAAATATTCACTCAAGTCCAACACAACACGAGCATGAAGCACCATATAAAGAAGGCCCTTACACCCTTCCTGCATGTTGATTAAACCACATAATTTATAGATAAGAATGTAGGTCATGTTTAAGCTTGTATCAGTGTTAGTGCTAAGGGATACAAGTGTGTATAAGTGACAGCAGATAATGATAGTAGCACTAGCTGTTAAGAAACAATTTAGGATATAAACAGCTATGTTGTTCTCTTTTTAAGACTACTTCACTAACATTGTCCCATACCTGAAGAATGCGGACTTTATTGTTATCTCGTGATAAAACCTTACTGATTGCTAAATTTGGAACTACCCTGCAACAAATATTGTTATCTGTCAAAAATCTCTCACCACATGCTCTAGTACATCTAGTGTAAAGAAGCAGCATAAGTGACTTACTCAGGAAGAGTTTCATAGGCTGTTAAAATATTCCATACTTCACGAACAGGAGCTTTAACAGTTATGCTTGCAACAACACAACGATGAACACCTCCATTTTCCTTCATATCAAAATCACTTTATTAGTATGGCCATAGAGACAGCTCATTGTCTGAATCAAGGTCAACTCATAATAATTAGTATAGATAATTTACCAGAAGTCCGTCAAATCTGCGGAGATGAACTTCATCCACCATGCGAGGTCTGTCAAGCCTACAAACTTTTCCAAACACACCCCAGTTGCTGCTCACGTCACTGGAAGATGGGAGCATGGAACCAGACACTGAACCAAAAATTTCTTTTTTGTTTTCTGCAGGTGGCAACGTAACACTTTCACACAAAGCACCATTTATCTTTTCAACAGATGACCCGTTAATGGCTATATAAGTTTTGTGCAATTGATTTTCTGACAGTGGAAGTTTCTGATATCCCATAAAATTCCTTTCAGCTCTGTAAGCCAAAGCTCGGAGGTTCACAGGAAGATCAGATCGGATAATCCTTTCCAAAAAAATGGCGGGGAAATTGAATCTTGGTATCACATTAACTTCATAAGATAAAATAGCAGTTGATGACCTGCATAAACCAGAATTGGTGTAAACTATAGAAATGTAAATGGCAATGTGTGTAATGTCAATAAGAACAATCCATGTTAATGAAAAATGAAGATACTTGCCCCCATAGAAACCCACTTCAATTGACATTAAACATATGGGTGAAATAATTAAGGATGGCAAAGCTTAACTGTTTTGCAGGTTGCATTATTACTGCATTTGGAAAATTAGCCAATTTATTCTTCATTCTGTCACATAAAATGTTTGAAGATGTCACATAGTATACTTCAACGCATTTTTTTTGAAAGCCCTACAAAAGAGCACCACCACAACAACAACTTTATTCCAGTAGGTGAGGTTAGCTACATGAATCACACGATATCATTGGACTTGGTCAAAACCCAAATATTTTGATATTATTCACCGAGAGATCCATTTTAATAATTTCCTCTAAATTCTTTCTTGGCCTCCCTCTACCTCTTTTTAGTTTTCACATGACTAAAACCCATGCAATCTACTTTCATCACCTGTGACTATCATTGAAAACTTATAAGTTATAAATATAGTTCTCCCACCCCCACTTTAATATCTTGATCTGTAACAGAAACTTTTCCTTCCTCGTTCTTATTGTTAATACATTTTACTTGGTCAAATTCTCTTGATTTCCTTTCCCATTTTTTTTGGCAAACATTCATATTCACCATTTTGGCTCAAGATCTTGGTAAGACTCTTCAAAAGTTTTGGATCGTGCTTCACTCACAACTTTCCTTCTCTCATTTCTAGCCTTCCAACACTTTGCCTAATTTTCAATGTTATTGCACCATGTAAGGCCTTTCAACACTCTTTTTCGTTTCTTACCTTTTCTTACACACTTTCATTCCATCATCAAGATTCCACATCTCTCAGTCCATTCACCGGCTTAGCAACCTTTCTAATTTGTAGACATCTCATCCCAAATGAGTTTAGCACTACCTTATAGCTCCCAATCCAATTACTTTTTTCTAATAATTTCTTCTTAGAATTCAATTGTTTACTAACCTTAAGTTGCAACCACTTGATTTTTGGATTTGTAACTTGTCGGGCTTTCTGTTTATGACTCTTAAAATGAGCATCAATAACCAAGACCTTATGTTGTATAGTTTAGTAACTAGAAAGTTTCCCTTTGGAGAGCCATACAAAAGAAGAACATACTCAAAACATATTGATATGGTGTTATATTCAAATTACCCCAACTTCATTGTGTATGGCATTCCAGCAAATTTTAACATATTAAATGGTAACAAACAGAAAGATGATGAAGGCCTAACAAAAATGAAGCCTTTTCATTAATCAGAACCAGAACTTCTACAGAGAGTAACTTTGAGTTTGAAAGTTTAAGATTGATGACATACTAAACCCTAAACCCTAAAGATATGGTATTATATTCAAATTACCCCAACTTCATTGTGAATGGCATTCCAGCAAATTTTAACGTAGTAAATGGTAACAAACTGAAAGATGATGAAGGCCTAACAAAAATGAAGCCTTTCCATTAATCAGAACCAGAACTTTTACAGAGAGTAACTTTGATTTTGAAGGTTTAATACACATACTAAACCCTAAACCCTAAAGATATGGTATTATATTCAAATTACCCCAACTTCATTGTGTATGGCCTTCCAGCAAATTTTAACGTAGTAAATGGTAACAAACAGAAAGATGATGAAGGCCTAACAAAAATGAAGCCTTTTCATTAATCAGAACCAGAACTTCTACAGAGAGTAACTTTGAGTTTGAAGGTTTAATACTGATGACATACTAAACCCTAAACCCTAAAGATATGGTATTATATTCAAATTACCCCAACTTCATTGTGTATCGCATTCCAGCAAAGTTTAACATAGTAAATGGTAACAAACAGAAAGATGATGAAGGCCTAACAAAAATGAAGCCTTTTCATTAATCAGAACCAGAACATCTACAGAGAGTAACTTTGAGTTTGAAGGTTTAATACTGATGACATACTAAACCCTAAACCCTAAAGATATGGTATTATATTCAAATTACCCCAACTTCATTGTGTATCGCATTCCAGCAAAGTTTAACATAGTAAATGGTAACAAACAGAAAGATGATGAAGGCCTAACAAAAATGAAGCCTTTTCATTAATCAGAACCAGAACATCTACAGAGAGTAACTTTGAGTTTGAAGGTTTAATACTGATGACATACTAAACCCTAAACCCTAAAGATATGGTATTATATTCAAATTACCCCAACTTCATTGTGTATCGCATTCCAGCAAAGTTTAACATAGTAAATGGTAACAAACAGAAAGATGATGAAGGCCTAACAAAAATGAAGCCTTTTCATTAATCAGAACCAGAACATCTACAGAGAGTAACTTTGAGTTTGAAGGTTTAATATTGATGACATACTAAACCCTAAACCCTAAAGATATGGTATTATATTCAAATTACCCCAACTTCATTGTGTATGGCATTCCAGCAAATTTTAACGTAGTAAATGGTAACAAACAGAAAGATGATGAAGGCCTAACAATAATGAAGCCTTTTCATTAATCAGAACCAGAACTTCTACAGAGAGTAACTTTGAGTTTGATGGTTTAAGATTGATGACATACTAAATATACACAGACACATCTTTAAATTGATGCAAATTGCTTTGCAAATAATGGATTCGAGAAATAGATTCTACCTTGTTCCAGATTTTACGGACCATTTGCCATCAAACTTCTTAAAGTCCCCATCAACCATGGAAAAGTGAAGTTCTCGATCCCATGCCTGAAGAATTAACAAGAAAAATGTAGCAGTATTAATACAACAAATATTTCACTTCTCTCTTCTGGACTTGTCTATATTGACGGACTAATCCATTAACTCAAACTAGCACAACCATTGTTAATGAAAACTTAATTTTTCTTCACATATAATCTTGTATAAGCCATAAGGATCATGGGGCAAATTGCACAAGAAAACATGGGTTGGTTTTAGAATAATGGATTTAAGCCTAACTCAACCCTACAAAACCGGCTTGTAAGGTGAGGGTTGTTTTCCACTTATATACTATTCAATTGCCTAATCTCTAGTCGATGTGGGACTTGGGTTTTTCCCAATACACCCCCTCACGTCCAGCACTATTGGGCTTAGTACGTGGATAAATGGTAGGTGACCCTTTTTTTAATGATATAGGATTGACGGGACTTGAATACACCCTCTCATGCCCATGGAGTATGTATCAATGAATGGTAGGTGACCCATTTTTTTTTTTAAGAATCTAAGATAGCTCTGATACCATCTTAGAATAGTAGATTAAGCCTAACTCAACCCTATAAAATCAGCTTGTAAGGTGAGGGTTGTTTTTCACTTATATACTAAGTAATTGTCTAATTTCTAGTCGATGTGAGACTTGGATTTTTCCCAATAGTTGGAGCACGAAAGATTAAGGGTTTATTCTCTTCTCACTTTTTGTTTTTAAAAATTGTTTTCTAAAACAATTTCTCACTGTTTAGCAATCACTTTCTCATTCAAAATCTTCAAGTTTCAGAAATCATTTGTTTGAAAAACTAAAAATAGCTAGAAGATGTTTCCTCGTCTTCTTTTGTTTCCATCTAGTTCAACGTCTCCCTCAATTTCACACTCTGCTCTACTAGTTGTCTCAGCAACCTTGTTTACTTGCATTTTGAAAACTTAAAAAGTTTTTGAAAAGAAAAATCGGGCACACCCCAAAGTTTAAATTCCGTTCCAATCAAGTAGGGCTAGTGGCTGGCTACAGTGCCCATTTCATATGTGTTAAAAGATGCTTACTGAATTGATGACTTCTCGAAGATCCAACACAACACGAGCTTCTATATGCCAATACATTGCCCTTTGGAATCCCCTTTGCTCTAACCATATCCTCCCTGGGTATGGACAAGGAATTCGCCCACTGACAACAAAAAAGGTTCATTTAATCACCACCAATACAAAGTAGAAGCACTATTCCATTTTTTGTACCCGATTCTATAAGTTACTCTGGATACACTTTTATGAGAGAAATTAAAAAAAAAAATTAAAATAAACTTATCAGTAAGGTAGTTAATTTATACATGAATTAAAAATAAGATTTTGAAAAGCTAATAGACGATAACTTCTATAACTTGGCTTATAAAGAAGCTTTTTTCTTCTTATTTTTCTACTCTAGAAGTAATTCTGCAAAAGTTTACTCAAACAAACCAATGAATAACAATTAACAGCATTAGCATTACCTCCAAACAAGATTTGGGATGAAATCAGCGAGACGCTCATAATCGGTGAGAGCATTCCAAACGGATTCAGTGTCAGCATCGACGGTAATTTGCGCGTTGATTCGGCGTTCCCTCCACGATATCACTTGGACCTCACAATGCACCTCGCGCTCACCCTCCTCCTCTTTCCGTTCAAAGCTTCCATCTTTGGCGCCGTAGCAGTTGAAGCGGCACGTGGGCTTCAAGGGGGTGCTAGTGGTCGAGGAAAGTGCGGCAGCGATGCCCCGAGAGTGGAGTGTGAGAGAGAGAAACCTTGTGGTGGCTGGTTTGGACAGAAAGCGCAGAGGGTGAGGTCCAACGTTGGTGGGGGTGGAGGAGGCGATCATGACTCACGGGACTGACCACACTATTGGGTGGTTTCGTTATACATGGGAGCGATGTTTGTTGGCGACAGTTGAAGATACCTGCGTCGTAGCCACCAGTTATGTTTCTGTCGTTTAGTCGTGAATTTGTGGTTGCAAAAATATACACGGTGGTAGTGATGTTTTGGTCATTTCCTTTGATTTTTTTATCCATGATGTGGAGTTGGAAAACATGTAGGACCATGGCTACTTCACTCACTAGCTACTTAAAAATCATTTTAGACAACAGTCAGATTCAAATAATCTTTGATTTTTCTCTTCATAATTATCTTCAAAATGCTCATTCTTTTTCTTTTGGTTTAATTGTCACTCAAGTCTCACAATTTTGTGAACTTTGTCAATTTGTCGTTTACCTCTCACTTTTAGTGCCTCTTAAGTATATGGTTACTGGTTAGTGCCTCTTAAGCTTGAATGAGGATTTTAAAACATAAAAATGCCTAAAGTAACAAATAGCGGAAATACATTGAAAACACGCAACGAGCAAATTAAATTCTAGGCACGAATGATGTGAAATGCAACACATCATTTACCGTTGTTGGATTCGGTAAACTGTATACAACAAAAATCAAACATGAAATTTTTTACCAAATAAATTGTCTCTGTGACATGTGAGCGAGGTTCTCTAAACATTACGTTAACCTTTAGGCTGAGTATAGTCAAACCAACATGTTTATAACTTTTCATTATAAGCTTATTTATAGAGATCAGAGAGCTTGAGCCAAACAATTTTCAAAACAGGCTTTTATAAAATTAAGCCACTTATTTCTTTAGAATCGGAAGATAAGTTGCTTTTGAAAGAGTTGTCTACAGGAACTTTAACATTTTGTATTTTTATTTTTCTTCGATCTACATATGCAACCAACATCACATCTTTCCTTCTTTTTGAATATGAGCAGGAATATGGGCACTTTTATGTGCTATCTACCTTCTATTTATTTATTTTTACTACTCTTAATTTCTATGATATTTTTTATTTTTATTTTGTTGCTCAAATATCTCATTTTGCAAATAGGAAAACTTCGACTACTATCAAAAAATTTATTTGGATTATGCATACGGATGAGGATTCAACTGATAAAAAGAATTTGTCTCAAATAAAATATATAATTTATAAATAATTGGTAAATGATTGTAATGATTATTTAGGACTAAATTTTAATTATTTTTCTACTAAATAGCTTTCAGTTAAGAAGCTTTTAAGTTAAAAGAAATAAAATTATTAAACAACTACTACTTTTATTTTTAAACTTATTTTGAGTTTTAAATTTAGAGTGGTTTTTAAGTCAAGAAAAAAAAATCAAACATAATTTTAATTAGTTGTTAATAGATGCAAAATTTTGTGTTGGAAGTCTCATTATCTATTGGTGGAGAGAAATCTTCATTTGATTTTATAAGATTAAGTTAAACTCTTATCCATTTTTTAAAAATGATACCAAAGCATAATGAGGTTTATATCCTAATGATTATCAATTGTTAGTGGGTTGAGTTAGGTTATTTACTATAAGACCATTATTAAACTATCTATAGATATTCAATCTTACAAATTTCATGCTCGAGTTCTTGATATGAAGGAATATGTTGGAGATTACATATTATATAGAAATAAAGTCATAATTGTGTATATAAATGAATAACAATTATCATATTGAATTTGTAAAATTGAATTAAATTGTTATTCAATTTCTTAAAACTTTAGTATTCTTACCATTACATTCAGTATTGACTAAGGTCGGATTAGTGAAAAATTAGAATAAAATGCAGAATATTATAAGTTTAAATGCTATTGTGGTCGTTGTAAATTTGTATAAAAAAAAAAAAAAAAAAAACTGTGAATGACTCATTCATCTAACTTTTACAAAATAGACTGGTAGAGAGGTGTGCATTGCATGTTCATTTTACTTCATTAATCTGACTTGTTTGTACGAGATTTTTTTTTCTTTTAGTGAACGCCACTCATTTGCATGACTTTGATTAACTTTGGGCTACGCAACCGTAACTGAGAGCAAACTTGAGTGTGCAAAAAAGCCCAATGTTTAGGGTCCGTTAAGGAGTATTAAACTCATATTTTTGTTAAGAAGTCCTGTAATGTAAGTGAACCACTAAATGTAATATAACAATATCAATAATAATGTATTATCTCATTAAAAGAGACATCACTAAATAACTTTTTTTTTTGTAATTAGAATTATATTTCTATGCATAACTCGACTAATTATTAATTATCTTTAAACAATTCCATGAATTATTTATCACTAAAAAGTTTTTTTTGCTTTTAACATAGTAGTGACTTAACTTTTTTTAATGTATAAAAATCTGTCTAATTAGATTTTTTATTAAAAAAAAAAAAAAAAAAGATAGCCGTCTATACGAAATATCAACCACAGGTATACCCATTTCTTACATTTGGAGGCTTTTCAATGATAGAGACTCAAAAGATGCAGCCCACAAGAAACTGGTAGCTACTAAGCTTTGATCTCAAACCAGGAAGATATCTTACGGATCATGTGTAGTCAACTAAACTGAAAGAAGAAAAAATCCAAGATCTTCCATGTCTTCGGCACCTTGTACCTACCAATTTTATATATAGCACTTCGTTCTATTATCCTCTTATTATCTCTTTATCATATATAAAAAATGATACTCTTTGTCCAAATACAATTATGTTATATAAATAAGGACAAAACTTACTATAGAATAATTTAAACGTTGTTGGTGTTATTCATTAATTAATTAGAATTTGACTTTTATCTTAACGATAAAATAGTTGCAAGTTTTGGGTGTGGCATGCATCATGTTTAGGGCATGGTAGATAAAATAGAGTGGCGTGAAATATTAATTGTGAATGGCACGAACAGCTTGTAAGTTAGTGTGAGAAAGAGGAAGGTGGTATTGAACGTTAGACAAGAGGTGGAACTAACGGTACATAGGGAAACACAGATGAGATTGATAGGATGGGATGCATACAAACGGGGCCCATCACTTCATCAATCCTATAATGCATTATGCATTATGCAGTATGCATTATGCAGTATGCATGCCTACACATTCAAACTCAGTTCACATACTTGCCTCTCAAGTAATCTCACTGCCCCTTTCCCATGAACCTTTTCTCTCTGTCTCTTTCAGAATCTTCATATATCCTAGTACGTAGACCATGCTCATTTCAAATGAACTTTATAATTACACTTGTGCTGCTAGTCTCATACTAGTATTAAAATTATAAATAAAGGTCTTTATTCAAGGATAAATTTAGCTATTTAAGTAATTAATAAAGCTTTAATTCTAATTACATAATATATCATCAAATACTCTATACTTAAGTTTTCTCACTGTTTTACTTTAATTAGTGAGAATATTATTGCATAAACACAGTTCAACGCATGGATATGCCCATTAGAATATGGGCCTCTCTAGTTTGTACGTACCTTGTAGTAATTAAGAATGTTTCATCGTCAAAAAAAATATATGAAAAAAGTTATTACATATAATGCCATATAAAAAAATGTTACTACATACAATAAATGTAGAAATAAATCTATTTAATATATTTTTACATATAATTTTAATATTAATTTTGAATGAGATTTAATAATATATATTATCTATTATTATAATCTATATCTATATTTTTTTAATAATTACGAAAATATAAATATAGATAAAAAATATTTTAATAATAAATGTTGTATCATTATAAAGTATATATTATAAAATAATTTTTTAGGTGGTAGAAAGAGAATTTACTGATGAATAAAAAAAAGTAGAGTTTTATAGATAAATACTATTAGTGCAAAAGCTTTTTTTTTTAGTCATTAAGGAAAAAAATTTATTAATAAGACCGCTCTTTATGCTGTTAAGGAAAAAATCAGAGTGGAGACATGAAGGTTGGTAAGTACTTATATGTGTGAGCATTAGTTAAAAAATTGGAAATGATAAACTATTAATATTATTAATCTGTTTTTATCATATATCTTTATTTTATTTTATTAAGGATGTTAGATACAAATGTTAATATTTTTTTTTAAAATGTAATAATGACACGTCGAAATTCATGATAAAGTATATAAATAATAATTTTTATATTTTCATTTTTTAATTATCATTTCTAAGACTAAGAAAGTGAGTTCCTAGACTAATATATAAGCATAAAAAATCAGGCGAGGTAATAAAATATAATGAAAATAGTGCAATGACACACTTAATTAAATTTCTTTGTTCCAATATTAGTTAAGAATTATAATTAAACTTGACTTCTCTTATATTTTATATCTTTTTATATAGATTTACGGAATAAAGTAAATTATTTTTAATTTCACAGAAAACTCCTCAAAAAAAGTTGATACTTAATTCTAGTCTTATATGTGATTGTACTTTGTCCTAATCAACTTTTCATTATAAAAAAAATATCAAATTTTAAATAAATTTATTCTATTTAATAATATAATCTTTAAATTAAACATTCCTTATTTAATTAAGAATATCATTTTCAATGACTATTTTTTATTTCAAATTTTAATAAAGGTCTATTTGAAAAAGAAATTTACATTTAAATAAAAAAGGTAATAAAATGCTTAAACATTTGATAAGAAAAATGCCTATTAATTAAATAGAGTTATAATTGAGAAGAAAAATATATTAATTAGAATTTAAAATTCTAAAAAGACAACTATTTGAAAACAATGACTAAAGATTTGAGACAAAAGGAAGTAATCTCCATTCCAAATCTTTAGTCATTTTAGTCTTTTGTTTTCCACAAAAATTGATGTTTTAAAACTGCCAACTCTAATTAATATTTTTTTCTCGATTATACTCTCATTTAATATTCTCGTGGTTCTTTATTATAAGTAAAAAATATATTTTATACATATTAAAGAAATTATCCGTATTAAATTTTACTAATTCTATTAATTAGATGTTTGAGAAAATGTTTAATCCTAGGTGGAGAGTGGTGAGATGAAAGTGTGATGAAATTAAAAAGGGTTGCAGTTGTTTACCCTCTTTAAAGTTGTGGATGCAACGTTCCCCGGGTAGCTATGTTTCATTTCCCAAGACAAGTCAGATAGTCGTCATTTA